TCTGACTTTCATGTTGTTCTCTCGGTTATATGATGTTGTTGGAGTATGGACACGTGAGAAGCACGCTGTAAGAAAAGCATGGACAATTCCAAAAAAATATGCAAAACAGGGAGCCTGCAGAAGGTGAACTGCGTTAGTGGCTCTAGTTATCCATGTAGGCCTTTTATTATAATGGAATAATATTTTCCTGCTGTATAAGACATTTTTATGATTTATTGGATATGACTATCAGTCATTGTTACAAGTCTAAAATTACGTCTCTATTGGTAAACTATCAAAACTCTGCTATTCTGACTATATACTAGTATATGAGAACAGGCGTCTATCTGGTCTTCTCCTGGCTCAGAGTTCACTTGAGGTTGACCTCCTTGTGAGGAATGTACCCTCCTGTCTGCCCATTTTTCTGACCCATTACACAATTATTTTACCCCAATAACTCGTCTCAAAAATATCAGGACCGACATTGGAAAGTTTGCAGGTAAAAATGAACACAAGCAAATGGTCTCAGCAATAAAAACATACTTAATTATTTGTTTTTCTTAGTCTTATTCACACGAATTTGAGCGATCTTTTTGTATCCATCAAAATACTATTATATCATTGCTTCTAATTTAAGTATAAGCAAGCAAAATATAATTATCCTCCTTCCTGTACATTAGTTACTGTATGTATGTAAAAGTGAGTGAATGGATGGTGTGGAGTGAATAAAAATTACTAGTAAAACAACAATATTTTCTGTGCTATGTGTGACCTGTGTCTGTGAAAATACATTATGTCAAGGTTACTTAAGTTACTGCCCAATGAATGTTTTTTTTGTTCTTTTATCATCACTGGCTGTGTTTGCAGCAGTGTAATCTTTAAAAAATCAGGTAAAGGAAAAGGTGCACTTTATTGATCCCCGCAGGGCAATTCATCCTCTGCATTTGACCCATCCTGATGCCACTAAGGCTTACGTCAGAAGCAGTGGAGCGCCGTAGTACAGCGCCCGGGAACCCATCTCCAGATGTTGATGCTCGGCTTGTTCAGGACTACCGAAGCTGGGGGATTTAACCTAGTGTGCATGATAGGGACAAAAAGGTTTTTGTTTCATAGGTGCTAATAATATTGTTGCTTCCACCGTGCCTTCACAAGTTTGAAGAATCAGAATCCTTTTTATTGCCATGTGAGTAACAGGAAGTCACAAACTAGAAAATTGCTTTGGCTCTCGGTGCAAACAAGTTAAGCAGAATAAAATCAAAGGCATGCATAAATAAAAATCTACATTAATGTCTTCAGATTACTATATACAAGTGCACTAGGTGCTCACAATAGACTGTTAAGAGTGCGATAGAGTGCAGTAAAGTTACAGTAGCATAAAGTGACGGTCAGAGGTCAGTGATTGTTTATGAGTGTTCATGAGTCCAACAGTAGAGAGGAATAAACTGTTCTTATGGCGGGAAGTTCTGGTCCTGATGGACCGTAGTCTCTTGTCCGAAGGGAGTGGTTGGAACAGTCCATGTGCGGGGTGAGAGGGGTCAGCAGTGATTCAACCAGCCCGCCCGCGAGCTCAGGCGACGTACAGGTCCTGCAGCGATGGGAGGCTGCGGCCGATCATCTTCTCCACAGAGCGCACGATGCGCTGTAGCCTGTTTGTCCCTGACTGTGGCTCCAGCGAACCACACGGTGATGGAGGAGGTGAGGATGGACTCGACGATGGCCGTGTAGAACTGAACCAACATCTGTGCAGGCAGCTTGGCTTTTATGAGCTGCCGCAGGAAGTACATCCTCTGCTGGGCCTTCTTGATGAGGGAGCTGATGGTCGGCTACCACTTGATGTATAGTCTCACTATAATTTTTAATGGCCAAAAATAGAGCATAATATTTGGGCCACAGATGATTAAAAGTAGAAGAAAAATACCCTAAATTAGGGTCTAAATGACCCAGGGCTGGTCAAGTTTGGAAAAAATCATAAAGATACAGCTTGATAAAATGTATTTAGGGCATTTTTACATCACTTTGGCAGGTCTAAAACACTAAAAACATGCACAATAGTTCTGGCATGCGCCTCCTGTTCGGCGACCCCGCTCCCATCTCTGTGTGGAGTGAGTGGACCAATGCCCAAAAATAATAACAATTGTAAACCGCTTTGTGACTCTGGTCTGTGAAAGGCGGTATATAAATAAAGATTACTTACTTACTTACTTACTTAGGTCAATTTGACCCGAGGAAAGCACAAAGGTTCATACTGGATTAAGACGTTACTTATAATATACAGAGTTTCTGCAGAGCCTAAAAAAGTATACAAAGTTATACTTCTTTTGTTAGTGAAAGTTTATACAGTCCAGTAACCTATTATTAGATTTTATCTGTTGACTAGTCTCAAGCTCTCTGCAGCAGATTGCATACTCAAAGTGACAGTTGTTTGGGGCCTTTTTCATCTATGTTTAGACATTCGAACATGTTTATATTAGTCCAGTTGCTTCGAGTTCAAGATTATGATGTGGAGAATCCATGTTTCCATTTCTGTGTGTTGGCTCCAAAAGAAAACTTCAGCTGCTAAACTTAAGAGCATTAAATGCGGTTGCCCTTGTTTTCATTGGCCGGAGAAGTCTGGGGTCTGTTTATCAGCTCTGCACTCACTTAGAGGAGATGGTTTTATCCACATGTCAAAACCTATAAACTATAAGCCCGTTTCCACAAGCCCTACTCTTTACTTGGCCCTACTCTATTCTACTCGCCTCTTCTCTCCCCTGATTGGAAGCGTTTCCACCGGCCCTGTTTATCTGGTCTTTTTAACTCTTTATTTATGTGTTGGACAATCAGGATGGTTCTTCCATCCTGATTGTCCAACGTCTGGTCTTGAGGTACTGCTCCCCTTTTTGTGTATTAATTTGGCTATAATTCTGCAGCACTCAATACAGAAGAGCGAGAAGCCTGTAATCATTCGCCTCTTTGGAACTCTCTCAGTCTTTCTTTAGCCCGCTGCGCACTGAGAGTTCATTTCTCTCTATGGGCTTATGCCCCTTTGCCATTCACCTCTGCCATTTGCCATTGTCCTCTCCTCTCCTTCTCCCACTCCAAAGAGGTGAATATTATTTCTAAGGGACCTGGACTCGAGGTCAGTAACTTTGGATTGCAGGCCTCTTTGTAGCTTGAGGCATTCAGATAGCGCCTCTGTCAGCACCAGTGTCACGTCCTCCACCTCGGACACTCGCGTTTCCGCAGCCCCCACTCGCTCTCCCTCAGTTACCGAACCCAGTTTGTTGCTCAGTTCCTGTTGCATTGTGTATATTACTTCTCAGCTTTTCGTTGTCTCCTTTCAATTCGGATTTGAGCGACTCGATAGCCTGAAGTAGAGCCCTGCACTTGAGCCCTTGGCCCGAGGGCCCCGACGGCCCGACAGCCCGAGGGCCGGGCTTCGGGCCGATGACCACATAATGACCTCGGACACGGGCCGGGCTCGGGCTCTTCATTTTCAGAGCGGCAGAATAGATTTACGAACGCACCCACTGAATATAGCGTTCTATCACGCTGTAGAGTTTGTTGTTCTGTGTAGTGTTGTCATTGACGGCACATAGCGTTACTTACAGGTGTGTTGCAGCATCTGGGCATCATACAGATGTGGCGGTTCACTCTGCACCACTCCGCACACACAGAACTCATTGCAACACATCACTACCATGTATAACTCCTCCCTCTAGCTAAGTCTGCGTTCATATCAGTGCGCGGCACTATATACTACGCTAAAACATTGTTATGGGAGGTTACAAAAAAAAAAAAAAAAAAAAGGCGGGCTTGATGCGGGTTTTGGGCCTGAAAATTCAGAAACCATATCGGGCCGGGCCGGGCTGGGGCGCCACCCCCTCGGGCCAGGGCCGGGCTCGGGCCCAGATAATAGGCCCGTGCAGGGCTCTAGCCTGAAGCATATCGCTCGTGGTGACTCCAGGCCCAGTTGTGCTAGAGTTAGCTTGATCTGCTACAGGGTTAGCATCAGCCATCAGTGCGTTCTGTTCTTGCTTTTTAGTCGGCATTCTGTAACTTCTTGGCCTCTACACGGTCCTTTCCCACCTATCACTTATCTTCGCCCGAACAGTCGCGTGTTATTGAGTTTAGGTGGATATTTCTTTCAAATTAGGGAGCAGCTACCTCGTTTTGGCCCGTCTCAGTTCGCCATGACACCGGAAGTCTTTATCTGGTCTTTTAGTCCCGCTTGGCCCTGGTTCTAGCCAGGCTGAGCTGGTACTAAAGCGTTCTAACTGACAGTTATTGGCCAGAGTGCTGCATGGTTACCAGGAGTTGAATTGAGTGAAGTCCGGCAAGGCTGGTGGAAACGTGGCTTAAGAAGCATTTACAGCTACTTATCTCTGTATATTTTGTGTGCAAAAATAAAAGACCAAACTGTTGTTTTGTCCTTAGATACTCAATACATTTGAGAACCTTACTAAGTACTAAGGTTACTATTGAAACTAGATTCTAAACTTGTATAACTTGCTAACTTATGGCCCTATTAAAGGAATAAGCCACCGTTTTTACATACTGACATAATGTTCTTACCTTACCTTAGACTAGTTGATATGTACCTGTCTGGTCTCTTCCACATACTGTATAGTTCCAAATCAGCTCCCGTTAGAAGCTACCAAACTCTTCCACGTGTTCCCTATTTAAATACAGTTACGTGACGTGTTACACTACAAAGTATAGTAAGAGAGAAATGTAACATGTCGATTTTCTCAGTGGATAAAAAGGGGTACTATATTGTGAGGCGTAACGAGGAGCACTACGTCCGCGCACTAACTCCCGTGGGAGAGAAGTCTTTAGGAGTTAGTGCGCGGACGTAGTGCTCCTCGTATTATTTTGGTTTCAAGTTTAAAATGTATTAAGTCTTTTAGCAAGAAACTTCACATTGCTGCATTTTTGTTTGTTTGTTTTGTTGTGTGTTTGGCGGTGGCAGCCTAACTTCTATCAATAAACACCTTTTCTCCATAAGTTGTGAGTTTATTGAAGTTGTCGTTTTTTTTCAGGAGCTGTGTCAGTGTCGTCCGACCGATGGAAACTGCTCGTGTTGTAAAGAATGCATGTTGTGTTTGGGACATCTGTGGGAGGAATGCTGCGACTGTGTGGGTGAGTATTATATTACTATTACTCTTATCATTATCATCAGTATTGGAATGAACTATTTGCAAATATAGTTTTGGGACCTTACAGAAGATGGTAAAAGAACTTGGTTTCCATTTGGGAGTTCTCTTATATCATCTGAAGGTACTGGAGTTAAAAATGGTCCTGAGCCAGGGTTAGTATTAAGGTTGTTTCTGACACTAATATATATTGGTCAATACCAAGATTAAAATATAATGAATTACTATTTAATTTCTTTAATTTATTGAAAACGCTCATCATATGGATAGTGATCTCCCTCTTGATCCCTTGTGTGATCAGTGTAAATAATACCAACCTGTCTCATTCTAAACTGAACCCATTTTGTTCAGAAAAAAACTAAACAAAAAAAAGAATCGAAACCAGGGGTGTCAAACTCATTTTGGTCTGTGTGCCAAATACAACCTAATTGGTTCTCAACTGGGCCGGACCAGAAGATTCTCTACAAAAATACCTAAAAACAGTACAACATTACTTTTTGTGCACATATACATATTTACAGTGCCTTGCGAAAGAACCTTTCAACATTTTGCCACATTTCAGGCTTCAAACACAAAGATATAAAATTTAAATTTTTTGTCATGAATCAACAACAAGGGGGACACAATCGTGAAGTGGAACGAAATTTATTGGATAATTTAAACTTTTTTAACAAATAAAATACTGAAAAGTGAGGCGTGCAATATTATTCGGCCCCTTTACTTTCAGTGCAGCAAACTCACTCCAGAAGTTCAGTGAGGATCTTTGAATGATCAAATGTTGTCCTAAATGACTGATGATGATAAATAGAATGCACCAGTGTGTAATCAAGTCTCCGTATAAATGCACCTGCTCTTTGATAGTCTCAGGGTTCTGTTTAAAGCGCAGAGAGAACCATGAAGACAAAGGAACACACCAGGCAGGTCCGAGATACTGTTGTGGAGAAGTTTAAAGCCGGATTTGGATACAAAAAGATTTCCCAAGCTTTAAACATCTCAAGGAGCACTGTGCAAGCAATTATATTGAAATGGAAGGATTATCAGACCACTGCAAATCTACCAAGACCCGGCCGTCCCTCCAAACTTTCCTCTCAAACAAGGAGAAGACTGATCAGAGATGCAGCCAAGAGGCCCATGATCACTCTGGATGAACTGCAGATAACTACAGCTGAGGTGGGAGAGTCTGTCCATAGGACAACAATCAGTCGTGCACTGCACAAAACTGGCCTTTATGGAAGAGTGGCAAGAAGAAAGCCATTTCTCAAAGATATCCATAAAATGTCTCGTTTAAAGTTTGCCAAAAGCCACCTGGGAGACACACCAAACATGTGGAAGAAGGAGCTCTGGTCAGATGAAACCAAAATCGAACTTTTTGGTCACAATGCAAAACGATATGTTTGGCGTAAAAGCAACACAGCTCATCACCCTGAACACCCCATCCCCACTGTCAAACATGGTGGTGGCAGCATCATGGTTTGGGCCTGCTTTTCTTCAGCAGGAACAGGGAAGATGGCTAAAATTGATGGGAAGATGGATGAAGCCAAATACAGGACCATTCTGGAAGAAAACCTGTTGGAGTCTGCAAAAGACCTGAGACTGGGACGGAGATTTATCTTCCAACAGGACAATGATCCAAAACATAAAGCCAAATCTACAATGGAATGGTTCACAAATAGACGTATCCAGGTGGTAGAATGGCCAAGTCAAAATCCAGACCTGAATCCAATCGAGAATCTGTGGAAAGAGCTGAAGACTGCTGTTCACAAACGCTCTCCATCCAACCTCACTGAGCTCGAGCTGTTTTGCAAGGAAGAATGGGCAAGAATTCCAGTCTCTCGATGTGCAAAACTGATAGACATACCCCAAGCGACTTGCAGCTGTAATTGCAGCAAAAGGTGGCGCTACAAAGTATTAGCGCAAAGGGGCCGAATAATATTGAACGCCCCACTTTTCAGTTTTTTATTTGTTAAAAAAGTTTAAATTATCCAATACATTTCGTTCCACTTCACGATTGTGTCCCACTTATTGTTGATTCTTGACCAAAAATGTAATTTTTATATCTTTATGTTTGAAGCCTGAAATGTGGCGCAATGTTGAAATGTTCAAGGGGGCACTGTATTTAAAACTTCCTTTGAAATGCTGTCTTTTATGACTCACTCAGTTCTAACTGTAAATCTGTTACTAACTTAAATATAACAGTGAGTTTTTCATAGAGCAAATAATGTAATTCCGCGTTCTGAACGGATGATAATGATAAATATGAATGACGACTTTCAATGCAAAGTCAATGGTGACGCGCGTTCGAGCGTGGAACTGCATATGTGCGTCTCGGGATGCACGCACGGACTGCGCGGCAGAGGCGCAGGAGCGGAAAATCGGCGCACGCAGGAGATAAATATTGCTGATCATTTCCTCGGGACGCTCGTGCAGCAACCAATCAGAGAGCCGCAAAGTTGTTACGGGGAAATTAGCGGTCTGAGCGAGCAGACTGAAAATACAGCCAAAACAGGAGCTACACCAGGACTAAACCATAGTTGACAATGGGGGGACTCTGTGCTTGTGAACATATGCATTCTCATGCTCCTGTGACTGTATACAACTGCTTTGAGCATGTTTGCCAATGCGGAAGTACTGTTTAATAATAAAGTAAACTTATGGCGCATCTCCGTGAACACATACTGCTGTTATATAATGTCCCTGGAAGGTCTCTGGACACAGAGACGTTGCAGAGTTGCACTATTGGAGAAGAACTTTACACAAAAAGCCACTAGCTTAACACTGTTAGCATCAAAGTCCGCCCGCTGCTTCCGCCACCGCAGCCCAGGACTTCTGGTCTGAACACTCCTGCGTCTGAAAATTAGAGAATGTGCATCTGGTGCGCGAGGCGTCAGCGTTCCAGCGTTGCCGTAAGTATTTACAATATTACAATGTAAATGGCGTTTCATAATATTTGTGAGTTAGCTTTGAGTGCAGTAGTAGTAATCTTTATTTATATACCGCCTTTTCACTGCACATCGGAGTCTCAAAGCGGTTTACAATTGTTATTTTTAGGGCATTTGTCCTCTCGCTCCACACAGAGACGGGAGCGGGGTCGCCAGTACAGGAGGCGCATGCCAGACCTATTGTACATATTTTTAGTGGTAGGGGAAACCGGAGTACCCGGAGGAAACCTACGCAGACACGGGGAGAACATGCAAACTCCACTCAGAAAGGCCCTGGTCTGACCGGGATTCGAACCCAGGACCTTCTTGCTGAGAGGCGAGAGTGCTATCCACTCAGCCACCGTGCCGCCCAGTTTTGTTTTATTAAGGCTCATTACAGAGAACTTGCTCAGTAGATAGATATAAAAAAGCACAAACACCTCAGCTTAAACATCTTCAGTTTGGTAAGGAAGTCCATGGTTATGTTATTTTCACAGAGAAAGCATCATACTGACCATGATTCATTCTGTTGAAATTAACAAAACAACTTCCATAACATGGTCCATTCTTAACAACTGCAGTACAGTGTCTCTGTGTAAAATACACTGAAATGTCCAAAAATCATCACCTCCATTTTCGGCTTTGTCAAAACACCTTCCTTTACCATCGGTACCAGGCTGAGGGCGTATGACCCGTCCACACTGTCCAACGCACCAGCAACAGCACCAGCAACAGTGTTGATAGTGTCCTCAGCTGTAGTGGTATCCAACGGGGCACCTACACTAAAATCTCCTCTGTGATAGTCAAAGTTTCAGTAACACCACGAATGAATATGCAACCTCAGTGACATCGGTGCTCTTATCAATGGCAACAGAAAATGCCACACGACCTCAACGTGATGATGGTAAAAGCGTGTAGTTTCTCAAGACACATGTCTGCAGCCTGTATGACAGTACTGACAAACTCTCCCTCACTCTGCGGCTGCGATGCTAATACTATGTTATTAGCACTAAGGTAGCTTGCCTTTACAGCGGCATCACTAACCTCTCGATCTGGGCACAAACAGACTGCTGTTTCTTTAGGGCCATTGTTTATCTTTGTTTTCTCAAATCTCTGCTTAAATTGCTGTATTTTTTGCAGAGTCTTGTAGTCTAAGATGATATTCCTTCAACACTGCTACTTGTTGGATGCACACTGATGCACACCAGGCATACGGTGTTTCATTCATCTCCATGAACAAATAAGAAATAGTCCACTTTTTTTTTTATTACCACTTTTTGCCAAGACATTTTGCAGAGGATCTCACTGTCCTCTGCACTGTGGCTCTGTACTGTTTGTGTTGGAGACACTGCAGTGGCACTCGCTGCTGAGCTAATCATTGCGGTGCGTGGTGTTGCAGAGTGGATTTTTTTTTCTATTATTATTATCATTTTACAAAAATGAGCTGCTGGCCATATCAAATCTCTTTGCGAGCCGGATCCAACAATCGACACCCATGATCTAAACTAGTAATCTGTTTGATATGAATCCATGATTTAAAGGTGCAATTTTGTTAGCTTAGCCTTAGCACCAACTCGAAACCACTCCCTGAAGGGGGGTAAACGCATCCCATTGGTTCGTTGGGGATGAACAAATTCCATTGGTTTATTTTTATATGGAGCTATTATTGTTTCAATAATATTTGTGTGTGCGTAAACAGATTTGTGTGTGCGTAAAAAGATTTGTGCGTGCGTAACCAGATTTGTGTGCGTGTAAAATAAATATTTGTGCGTGTGTAAATAGATTTGTATGTACGTATCAAGATTTGTGTGTGCGTAGAAAGATTCGTGTGTAGCTGGTATTAACCAGCTACAACAGCACCATCTGCTGGTGTACTGCTAGAACAACCACATTACACTTCGTGTGTAAAACAGAGCCTGTGCGTAGCACTTAGGCTTTTTTCCGTTCTTCTCTTCGTACAACGTGGTTATTTACACACAGATTGTTCTGCTACAGATACAAATGTCAAATTACACACACACAAATCTGTTTACGCACGCACACAGTCCAAGTTACACTTGCAAATCTG